CCCCAAAACCCCAAAACCCCAAAACCCCAACATATCAATAAAAAATTGAAAAATGGAAGCTATTCTGTCAGAAAGAGCCAAAGGACTTCAAGAAAGAAATATTTTAAGAGAACAATCAGGGTTTTATAGAGGAATCATATGGCCAAGAAGTTCTCCTACTCTTACTACAAATGGAACGAGTAAGTAGACACATGTGGAGAATTAATGGTTTAGGATTGCAAGATTATTACATCCCGAAGATCCTCGCCATCTCTTCTATAATAGAGTTGGCAGAAACTGTGAAATTTGGTGTTAATAAGGGCAGGAGTAATCACACAGAGAGAATTTTAAGACGGTATAAGGTGAAGAACGCAGACAGTCTAATCTTCAAAAGTGTACAGAGTTTAGGATACAGCAGGATCAGCAGATTTCTCCCATTACTTTTTAAAAGACTTCCGAGATCTCCATGTGATTTATCATTGAGTGAATTGAGATTAAAATTTAAAGATATTCTCAAAATATTCGCTAATCTTGGTCAATCAAAGTTGCTAATGTTAAGGAAATGCCAGATCACGGATATCATCTGTGATCCTATTGTAAAGCAGAAATACTGCCAAACTTTAAAGCTAGTGAGTCCTCCAAACCTTGGAAGAGCTAATTACTCAGATCTTGTTGATGCCAACTGCAAAGCCTTGGACCATGAATCTCCTGAGTTGAGGGACCTATTAGAGTGTACGTACCAACTTCTCATTCTTTTTTTTTACACATGAAAACTTTCATTAAAGAAGTTTAAGAATTTATCGTTGAAGCTTAGTCAATTATCTTGTTCTACTTAAGAGTGCCCAATGGAGTGAGTATTTGATATTTATAATTTTTTTAGCCGGAATAGGCCTAATAGGTCTGTCTTGAGGAATTGCAAGAGATTTAGTCGCTGTGGTTTGGATGAAAAATAATACTTTTAATTGTGAGAAGGGAATAATTAGTGATAGAATTATGGAGAATTCTTTTCAAAATGTTGCACATTTGTTTAGCAAAAAGCCTTATGTCTAGAATTTATCTCTGAGAGTATTAGGCTTATCTCTAGACTACTTTCACAAGCTATAATGCAATTCTCAGATTAATAATTGAGTAAAAATACACTTCTTTTAAAGCTTTAAAAGCTTTTTATGCAGTTTTAAGAGAAAATATAAGCACTCAAAATATATGTATTTCTTCATCAAATAAAAACCTATTTGCAAACTTTTACTTTCTAGAAAGAGGATATTTTTTAATTAGAAGGAGCATTCCAAAAATAATTTAGAATGCTGAACCCAAGTTGACATTGCTCAGCATAATGGTTCAAAATCAACGACTTTTCTTTAAAATCACAATTGAAGGATGATTTTTGTAATTAGCCAATTGAATATTTTCATCAGCATCAACAATATTCTTTCATCATTCAGTTAGAAACTTTGGTTCAACTATGAGAGAATATTAAACGATTCAACAATTGATCATTAAGATTTACTAAAAATTAGATTAATAAAGCTTTTATGTTAGAATATAACTTCAATTATAAACGAGATTTCTCCAAATATGATCGGACCATAAGTGATAATAATAATAAAACCCAAGAAACTGAGTTGTACATAAAATTAACTATAAAGTTATTTAACTTATTTACTTAAATAATACCATTTCTACTATTTATAAAGAATTTAAATTATTTTAAGCTCATTGCCATCCCTCTTCATGTATCATCTTCAATGGCTTACCAAAAAGTCACAATATTTTGAGCTTCAGAACTTTGCTCGCCCATATTTCTGCCTAATTCTGTACCCAAGTGGCGGGTTCTCATTTATTCACCTCATTCGGGGTCTTAGGTTTGTTTCCAGTTATAAAATTTCTAAATTTGCATATTGTGCAATCCTCAGTGGCTCAATCATACCAAAAACTGTGTTGCTTTCTCATTTCTATGCCATAATTCCAGAACAATTTGAAGCTCACTATTAAGAACAGTGGGTGCTACAAGATTTTAGCATAACATAATTGATTTTTACGAGTGTTAAATATTCATAATGTAATTCCCCAATATGAACTCTTGGCTGCTGAGATACCTCATTATCCCATCTCTTCCACCCCTCTCACCCTCCCATATCTCCCCTCCCTAATCCTCCCCTAGGCACAATCTCTCTATCCCCAGAAATCCCCCACCTACACATAGACGGGTACTTTACCAAAACGGAGATTCACCAGCTGAAGGAAGAACTTGGACTGAGCCATGTGACTATTTCAGGATTTGCTAGGAAAGGAAGAGGGATGTATATCATTTCTAAGTAGAATTTGTGGTGATTGGGGTTTTGGGGTTTTGGGGTTTTGGGG